CGATTAACCCGGGTTGGAGGTGTTATGTCCTCCTCTGTGCGGTGCCTGTAACGGCAAGCTTTCGCCACCTCTACGCATCATGTTACGGTGCTCGGCATCTTACCACCGACAAGAGTGGTCTTAGGTCACGGGTATTCTGTCAGCATTTAACTTACGCTTTACTCCTTACGATTTTACTTACTAGACAAACCATTAAAACTTTTTATCTTTACATATTTATACGGATATATGTCCATACCAGGATTGTGATATAATAAGTTTATATCCCGTACTATTACCAGTGTGAAATTCGAAGAACCTATTACAACATTTTACAAAAGAAATACGAACGATAATTCGGGTGGAGGTACTGTAAGTTTTTGTGTGTGTAGTCTTTTTTGTAAACCCCGACTAGTAACGTAGGATTTATTTATTTTATTTTCATCCTTATACCTAAGTAGTAGAGTCTGTCATACTTCTGTGACATCATAGAAGTGTTCAAATCTGGATCAGTCTGTATCAGATCCGTTGCAGCCCCTTTTTAAGAGATTTGGGTATGGAGGAAAATAGAGAGGGTTGTGTTTTCTGACACTTGGTGAGTTCCCTGGAACACCGGGGACACATATTCATGTATAAAAGACGTACAAAAGTGCATTTTGCATGATAGGTCACCTTTAATTGAAGAGAAAGTACAGACAGAAACAAGTAAACACAATTTGACCATACTTATGTTTTGTTACATAAACAACAACATCCTTTGTCAACTTCATGTCTTTCCTTTTATGCATTTAAGAATTTTCTTATTCTTTCAAGACATGTGCAGTCTCATCACGGCTGATTCATTCAATTATCTGACTCACAAAGCCACTCCCTCTCCAACTGTGCTAAGGGATGCATGTGGGCCAATTTATACGCATAACACAAACCTATATAGCCAATATATATGACTTTATTAATATCCCTCTCTACAGTCTATCTACTCTGCGTGTATAGATGTATAAATGTAGTATATAGCCCAGGTCCTTTCTTTTTTTGTGTCACGTTGATTTGCGTAAACAAGGCATCTGTCTCTGTTGCCAAAAATAGTGCATCATGATGGTTCACATGCCCCTCACACCCTGCTGTACCAAGACACGCATGCATGCACATTTTAATAAACATGTTTGCACGTACAAAGACACAAGGACGAGTAACCTGCGAGGCCATTTTTAGAAAAACATCAAGCTGTCCTGCCTGTTAGCAACTCTGTGCTGAACTGAAGGTGAATGAGGAGAGCCATTTTGTTGAAATCATTATCATGGCTATTCCATTCCCTAAGTGCGGTCATGACCAGAGGGACGTACGGAAGTTTAAAAGTGTCTTGAAATTATACCAATGTCGAGCATTAACGCAATAACATTAAACTGATGTCAGAATTTTCAAGAGCTTTCACTTTTCAGCCATCATCAATGTGAAGATGAAAGTAACACACTAAAGGGTATCGGATATAAGACTGGCTTATAATATGTCTGCTTAAAGCAAACCAGCAGCTATGTGTGAAATAGATAGCTGGTGATCTTCACTTGATACATATTTGTCTTTTGATATTACAGCAATACTGTGTAATTAAATGCGGGGGAAATTACTTGATTGCATTGACTGGCTGTTGAAAGAGTACTTGAAAGCAAAGAATGACCATGTTGATCACCGCTGTTAATTGCTGTTTCTTACGCATCATGCATCGCACATTGAGAAACAAAAAGCCAACTCATCACCCTTTTCACACATTTTACCTAGCACATGAAAAATATTCATGCTATGTTACAAAGTCTCAATGAATAAATAAGTCACATGGTGATTGTACTTTTCAGCACGCTTCACTCAAGAGTGTTCTCTTATTTTATTAATTCTCATCCTCTACTGCTACCCTCATAAGGATGATATACGACCAAGGGATGAGCCCGATGAAACATGAGATGGTCTGCTACTGTCTCTAATTAACATGAGCAGGTACACACAGAAAGCCCACATATCTGACAGTATTCCCCTTGAATGGGCTGAGAGGGCCCAGGGACACCATTACCCTAACTGATGAGGGCTATTTCTCATTCCTGGCCAGTCACTTCTCAGCCATTAGTGTGTGCATTATCGACCTGTGGAGAGGTCTTTGTGCTCACGGGGAAACACCTGCAGGTCAAACTATCCCACCTCCCCTACCCCCTCCACAGTCCTCTCTAACCCTCATCAGCAGGCATGAGATCAGGGAGAGAGAATAAGAGCAGTGGTTCCCTTGTGGGAGATGGAGCGACAAAAGAGAGAACGAAATAGTGTGTGCCGTGTAATATAAGGAGTGTGGGTGTGAATAGATGTATGATATGCATTCAATTGCATGGCGTGATTAAAAATGGAAGAAAGGCAAGAGCAAGAACAATGGAGGTGGTAATACAACTTAACCTCTGCTTTTATTTTTTTTCAAATTACTAATAGTTTTAGCATATTATCGTAGAAACACTATTATGTTGTAGCAGTTTACGTGCATATATATCATATATTTGTTATTTATCAATTGAAAGCATTTTTCAATTAAAGGATAAGGCCGGGGTTAAACCATATTTTTATTTTTGTTTTTCAGCCTCAATCCGATCTGTTCATACAATAATCCTAAAATGAGTCAGAAATAATTGCTTTTCTGTTTTTTAAAGAAAAAACTCTCCTTGAGCAACCGGTCCACAATAGTCTTCAGCCAACTACTCAAGCAGGACCGAACAATGTGTTTGTTGGGGAATATTTTCAATTGTAGATGTTGTGCTTTTCAGTACGTTTTATGGCAGCAGGAGGTAGCATATTGTTTCAAAAATAAACTATGATTTACATGTTTATTCTAATGAAGATGATGTCAGACCGTACAACAGCATAGATCATTGGTGAGTTTTTAATAGTTAGACAATATCAAAGGAATAGGACATTTCAGAGTTTTGCTCCCTGCATGTACAATTATGTATTGTGAGTTCCAATAATTTATGATTGTCCTTTTTTTATTTATATAAAGTATATTACAAAACATTTCCTTTAAAGGTCCCATTACATGCTTTTCCGGTTATTACCCGTCCCCTTGTGTGTTATGTAGCTTTTTATGCATGTCAACGGTCTGCAAAGTCACAAACCCTCAAAGTACACCCTGTAGCGAGTACAACTCTAACACAGAAAATACAACGAGGCGTTCTATGCTGCCCCAGAACGCCTCGTTGGAGATTTGTCTTTTTCCAATTTTTCTCTGAGAAAAATTGGAAAAAGACAAATCTCCAACGAGGCGTTCTGGGGCAGCATAGAACGCCTCGTTGTATTTTCTGTGTTAGAGTTGTACTCGCTACAGGGNACACACACACACACACACACACACACACACACACACACACAGATGAAGTAGCTCTTTTCCTTCAAAAGCAGTTTGTCGCCTAACATGTGATAAGTACGCTTTCAAGTTTGTCTGCTTCAGTAAAACCACCCACACTGATTAACATCAACCTATACAAAAAAGCTTAACAATCATTTCAA